CGTGGTGGTCTTCTACTCATCCAACTGGATTTTCATCCACCCCTTGCTTTGTGTCCTCCTTAGGGGCCTGGGAGATTGACCTGAAAGAACTGACATTTCTGAAAGAGCTGGGGACAGGCCAGTTTGGAGTGGTGAAGCATGGCAAGTGGCGAGGTCAATACAACGTGGCCATCAAGATGATCAAAGAAGGCTGCATGTCAGAAGATGCCTTTATTGATGAAGCCAAAGTCATGATGTGAGCCAACATCTCCTTTTCTTCTCTTCTCTATCAAGACTTTCCTTTAGATCAGGGTGAGGAACTTGTAACCTTCCAGATGTTGTTCAACTTCTACTCCCAACATCCTTCCCCTCTTGCTATGCTTGGTGGGTATCCATCCCAATTCTGAAAGCATCTCTGGACTTTCAGATTGCCCAGTGTGGTCCACCACAAATGTTGCAGGCTCAGATTTATTTCAGCTCAGTTCCTGTCATTAAAGGAAGTATATTTGGGTAGATGCTTCTCAGGTGTTCACTTGAAGACAACGTTCTTTTTTTTGTAAAAGTTTTTTTATTTTTTAAAGATAGACGCTAACAAACACAAACATAAAACATGAACATAAAACCATCTTCCAAAATACAGCATGTCGGTTGGTACATTTCTTTCGTGCGATGTCATAATATCAACAATCTTCCCCTTCCAAACATATTCACATTACATAAGTCAACTACACATATTATATTATATTACATTGTATTATTATTATATCATTATTAGACTCAACTATAAATTCACATAGTTCTTATCGAGCAAATCTGAGTTTTAACAAATCTGAGAATTCATTGCATTATGTTCAATTATATAATATCATTACATCATATTATCTTGCATATTATACTGTTCCTTTTTATAACATAATTTACTTCTCTATTTTCTTATCTAACCATTGATAAAATAAATCCCAAATTTTATAATATTCTTTATCTTCTTGCTCTCTAATTGCTAGTGTGAAGACAATTTTCTTCTGTCTGTAGTTGTAAGTAAGACCTTTCTTTGCAATAGATTTGAATGTTACTCTTGGACATTTTTCCTTCCTGCCACTTACATAAAAAGCCAGTTTGGAGTGAAGGTCTGGGTTTGCACATCACGCCAACTAAGGTTGGTTTAATCAGGATTTATTCCTTAAATAAGCCACAGTTGGTGATTAACAGAACATAATGGTTGTCTGAATGACCACAGCTGAGTTCCTGAAACATGCTAAGTCCAAGCTGAACAATTTATATGATGGCTTTGATCTGCTCCTTATTTTTGCCATTTGATGGGAAAAAACAGTGATGAAGGTCAAAGGTAAACCAATGAGGTTCTTGCTTTCCTTTTCAGGAATCTTTCTCATGCCAACCTGGTGCAACTGTTTGGGGTTTGCACGAAGGAAAGACCAATCTTGATTATCACCGAGTACTTGTCCAAAGGTTGCCTCTTGACCTACTTGCGGGATACTCGGCGGTCCTTCCAGGCCACCGAGCTTTTAGATATGTGCAAGGATGTCTGTGAAGCCATGGAGTATCTGGAATTCAAACAGTTTCTACACAGAGACCTGGTAAGTGACACACTGCTTAAAGGGAGAAAACTGAAGTCAATGCCTTTGGGTTGTGCTACCACTGGTGACCTTGTCATGGATGAGGCTTGGATGACTTGTGGCCTTCCAGATGTTGGTGAAGGACACATCTCTGTGACCTTAGCCAACATATCTACTGGTACAGGATTCTAGAGGTGTCTGAAAATACTGGAAGACCACAGCTTGCTCCTCCAACAAGGATGAAAATGCTACCAGGAACCCTCAATCTAATGATGGAGATATTGGAACTGGGGTGAAAGTGCTATCAGGTCCTCAAACTGGGAAAACAATGGAGGTTGGAGGTTTTAGAACAGAGGTGAAAGTACCATTGGGAATTGCTCAAACTGGTGTCA